GCTAATAAAATTTGAAAGCAAATTTACTAGAAAGCATTTAATTATGAACATTTTTTAAATTTTGCATGAAGTTCTTTCGCAAAGTAGGGAAAAAAATAAATTAAAAAAAATGGAAAAAACTGAAGAACAAACAGAAAAAAAATCCTTTATGTACATGCCGCAAAAAATCCTTTATTGAAAAACATTTAAAATACATCATGTGATTGATAGTGATCGTGTAAAAAAAGGGCTGTCCAACTTCAAACTTTTGCGGAGCCACAAAACATTTTAAACAATCCATTCACGGCTACCTTACGAAGATCAAAACACATCTGTTTCTTTTAAAATACATTTTCTTCTTTTACTTAATGAAGATATAAATCAATAAATACATGAATAAAGTTTCAAATTTTTTCAATTTAATATGCTTTACAGGTCCAAAAGAGTAAAATTCCTTAAAAATTACTACTAATAAAACAGAAAACATATATTACAAAGTTTTAAAACGTTAACATTTTATAAATAATGTTCTCACTTTCAAAAATATAAAAGCGTATATATCATGGCTGGCCAAACCTTCTCACGACATGAACCATATATCGAGAGCTGCACCTCTATTGAAATTGTTTTTATATAATGGATATTTATTCACATATATTTAATTAAATAATTAAGTATACGAGAGGCCGTAGTAAGGATCTAGAAGAGCTGCAGTTTGGTTACCATGAGTATATACAGTGTATAAATGTATTGATTTTGTACTTAAAATAAAAAAAAAACAATTCATTTTTCTTTCAAAATATTCTAATTTTACACAAAATTAAATTCGAAACCTTATGCAGCCCGCGGGCCGCGAGTTGGACAGCTCCTGTATAATCAAATCAATCGACTAATTTACTAAAATGTAATATAAACTAATTCTACAGTTTAATTAAAGTGACTAGATCGATGATAAATCCAAATTTAAAAAAAAATAATCCAGAATCTAATTAGTTTAACAATATTTGCAACTCAACTAAATACTACAGATATTTTGGCAAACTAAGATACTTCTATTCATTAATAATAATGATTACAATAAACAGAATAAGATCGAAAGTTGCTACGATACGGTTTTATAAACTAAAAGACAACAATTCACTCACTATAGCATGATTTTTTGTGATTAGGGCCATCTAACCTCATACATCGAGTGCTGCAATATGCTATGCTGTTACAATCTAGGCATTTTATTCGCGCTGGTTTATCACAGTCGGAGGAACCACACATACCAAGTGGCCCAACTGAAAAAAAATATTAATTTAAATGTTTTAAAATAATAAGATAATCATAATTAATTTTACTATTAAAATCCTGACTTACCATAAGGTGGGGGTTTTCTTTTCGAATCTGTTCTTCTAACTTAAAAATTATGAAAAAAATTTTTTAGTATAACAAATACAAATATCATTTTAAAATATTAAAATTGTCTATTTAAATTCAGTAAATTTTAATATTAAATTCAATTAAACTACATACCTGATGGTTTTTTGGGCTTATTATCATAATTATTGTGATTATTTAAATTGTTATGATCTGAATAACTGTTATAGGATGGTTCTTCTGAAAAGAAAAATAAAAAGTCGTCATAAATTAAATAATATAATAGTAAAATTAAAATAAATCGATACGGCATGTTAAAATTTTCCATCTACTTTATAAAAATTTAAAAATCAAAAAATAAATTAACGAAAATAATTACTTATTTAAAGAATTGCAAATTATATTATTCGAAAAGCACTTTTTAATTAATTTAATAACTTATTTGGCATCATAATACGTAAAGTATTAATTTAATTCAACGCATTATTAAAATTTGTAAATAATCACATAAATTCCAATAAAATAGTTATTAAAAATTTGTCAAGAATAAATATAATAATTATTACCTTTAACTAACTTAATATTAATTCCTTGAGATGGATATACACGATGTGCATATAAAGAACCTTCTTGATATGTGATGTCTTGAAAATCTTCAGTGACAAAATTATAATCTTTTCCAATAACTTCTGTAATGACTGGTTCGGCATTTTCAATTTTTTCTCTCAAATCCCTTAATGTCGTTTCATTATCGTCTTTTATTTTGATAAATCCGATGCATTCTCTAGAACCGTATTCGTCGGTTACCATGTAAACGTAATATTTTCTATCGGGTTTTGGTTGGATTTCTACAAAAGATCGAATTAAGTATTTATGGATAATTAATTAAAAATTTGCAAACGAAAACAATACACACTGGGAGGAATAATAGGAGTAGGATTGACGACTGGTGTAGGTGGTGGTCTTACTGATTCTTCAACGTCGTCAATGGGACTTATTGCTCCGGGTAAATAGTCAGCATCGTTCATAGCACTGAAATTTTCCATTTATAGAATTTTATTAATTTTTTAAATAATTATTTCGAACATTATATATTTAAATTACTAGCGAAATTAATTTTAAATCTTTTCAACTTTAATATTAGTTCGGCCTATAAATTAGTCATCGTCCAAAACTTACTAGAAAATTTCTAATTGTATTGAGCAAATTTAAATATTTTTATTCTTATATTAAAACAGAACATTTTAAAATATTTATTTATGTGTAGAACCAATTTATCAAACAGTATTTTCAATTTTATTATAAAAATATTTAAAAATTGCATTTATTTTATCTTAAGCTCAATTGCATATATAAAATTTAATATAACTTGTTTTGACAAAGAGAAAATAAACTTTCAAACTGTATTCTAAGTGAGTACGACAAACCAACTATTTCATTATGAGATTATTACATACCACAATTTATATTATATTGAAAATTCAGAATTAACAGAATGTCTTATTAAATAATTTTGCGAGATGAATTCTATTCACATATACAATACATAAAATTGTTTTTGCAGATTTTTATAAATGGTATATTAAGTATTGGATGAGTTATGTAACATTTATTCTTTTAGTATTACTAGTTTTCGTGAAAAGCTGAAAATATTGATTCTGCTGACGTTGAGTTTGAGAAATATTTTAAAATTCAATGGTCTAAGTTTATTTCAATAAAACCACAATAATGAGATGATGCGGGCTATAAAAACTTTTGGCGTCTTAACAAATAACGTAATAACATTAATTATTATAACATATGCTAGAATAATAAATTGTCAAATAAATTACGGAAAAATTATATTAAATTTTTTATTAAAATAATAAATACTCTGTACATAACTCGGACAACGATAATAAAAGAACACGTATTTAACGTTTCATTTAAATAACTTACTTTCTACTACTAGCAGAATATGTTCTGCTAGGAGGCTTCCATACATCCTCGACTTCATTCTGCCTCTGCTCGTCGTAAGCAAATTCCTTTTCTTCTTCTTCCTCATGTTGAGGAAATTGTCTAGCCGAATGTGGGGCACTACCGTATCTGGATTCGTAAGGCGGATTATCTCTTTGATTGCAACAGCAATCTAGGGTACCACATGTACAACGTGGATCACGGGAAGAGTTTCTCCCACTGATTGGTGTCGAGTATCTGTCCGCCTCGTCCTCCAGCCTTCTCTTCTCGTCCTCTACGGTAAACACCGAATGATCGAGCAGGGCAGCCTTCTCGTTTCCCGACAGATTAGCAGCTTTTTCATTATACATCCTATCGGGTTCTCCATCGAAATTCTTTTCCATCATATGAATACTAGAATTTCCTATAAAAATTGAACATCGTATCATCCCACACAAAAATAATATCTGTTTTTCGTTTTAATTTAATTCTAAGGACTATTTCTGACTTTAAAATGTGTAAATAAATTTTTTAATTTGAAACATTTCAAAATACAATTGTTTCATTAAATATAGTACTTTAATACTCCAATTTTTAAAATGTATAATAAAAATATGATTAAATATATTTATACATTTAAAATAAATTATAATTTCTTATGAAAATAATTATTCAAAATCTTGACTGTGTTTTGCGTACGCCATTGTAGAAGCTTCGATTATTGATTATCGATAAACATCATTTGGAGCACGTATCGATTTATTGTAAAAGGTAATAAACTGACTTCGTTGGTTGTAATTTTACAGCGTAACTTTGCAAGTTTTTAATTTTATAATTATAAAAATAATTTAAAATGTATAGACATTTCTTAACTAGAATTAAGAAAATTCACTTAAAATTTTTACATTTTAAATAGTTATAGTTGCTGATTATTATAAAATCATATATTTTATTTTACAATGGCATACTTTTAACACAGCAAGATTAAATACTAAAATAGTATATTAAAATCAATATTAATGTTATGTAATTGATATTTTTGATAAATTTAAAAAATATTATTATATGTATATACATATATTAAAGTATCTAAAAATATCAAGTTACGCTGTAAAGATGAGGTTACACATAGAAAGCAAATATATATTAACTCTTACCTCGACAACACTTTGAAGTCAGTTTCAATTAATGTGAGGGAAAAAAAATGTTTTAAATATGGGTTAAAAGGAACTTTTAAAAAATTATAAAAAAGCTTCTACAAGGTTGTAAACAAAATTTATGCATTTTTGAAAATACATTTTATTTTTATGCAGAAGTTATGTAAATTTTCGAAAATATTTATTATAACACACGATTCTGAGAAGATTCTTGAAAAATTTATTTACATTCACGATTCTGCAAGTAGACTATATTTATTCGAACTCTTTAATTGAAAAAAATATTATATTAAATTAAAAAAATAAGTATCTATAATATAACACAGACTAATTTAATTCGAAATATTTTGCTTAAATTAATTTATTTTAAATTATCTACAAACAATTGATATGGCTAATATACATAAATTTATCTACAATTTTTTTTTATTAATTTCTTTTTCTACAATATCTTTAATCTTAAAATTTCAAATTCTCTTGTCTTTCTTCCATTTAAGTGAAATTCTAACCTGATAATAATCGATCGCTTCCTTCTTGCCTAGCTTTGCAATGAGTGTGCAAACCTGTAAATATTTGGAATACAAATTCGATGATTAAACTTGTTATGAATACGTTGGTATGTGCAGGACATTACTTCTGGTGATTTCACAAACGGACAATTCAAACATTTAATATACAAAAAGACTTCATTGATATTTGTACAAAAACACATCTCCACTGATATTTTATTTTGAACATAAACTACAAAGTTGGGACATTTATTTATTACTGTTTTGTGGATTCAAGCGTGAGCTTCTTACAAGGGGAAAAATTACAATATTAAAATGCATATTACAACATAATCATTATTATTTAACATAAATGTTATAAGGAGTGAAAAAACACTATATTCAAAATATCACTTCTAAATATCACTTTTGGTAGCTGTTATTATGATCTATGTATGTATATCTCTTTAATCCGACATTAACTTCGGTAGACTATCATTACAGCTTTCAGGTTAGACACTTATTGTTTCCACATATGCATTTCGGACTTATATAAATGTTAAGTCCCTCTTCAGTGCAATACTGCAAATTATTAAAAAACACAATTGACAAACATGACAAAATTGTGTTTTTTAATAATTTGTAGTATTGCACTGAAGAGGGACTTAACATTTATATAAGTCCGAAATGCATATGTGAAAACAATAAAAGAAGTGTCTAACCTGAAAGCTGTAATAATAGTCTACCGAACTTAATGTCGGATTAGAAACATACATACATAGAACAAAATATCACTGTTTTAAATAAATCATATATTAAAAATTCTCTGGTGATACTTTCATCCCGTAAATGTTACTTTAAGTTATATAAACTAGGACAAGATGTAAACAAATGGATTAGCACAGATTCAGTTTTGTTACTACAATATGGGCTTATTAATTATTTCTGAATACGGCGAGGAAAGTTCACTTGAACTAGAGCTTACCATCCTAAGATAAACTCAATGATAAAAGACTAGTACACAATGCGGTGACAATAATAATTTCTCGGGAGAAATATAACGACCTATGAACATAATACAGAATTTCTTCAATCGCAATTGAATCATTAACAATTTAATAATTTAATAGTTTATGAAGAAATCAAAAACTTGTTTTAAAATTATAATATTCTAAAATGCTTTACTTATATTTTTTCAAAAATTTTTAATGCACTGTTTTATTTTTTTTCTTTTTTTAAAGATATATAAAATCTTCGCCAAACCATGAACTAGATCAAAACGACTTATTTTATAATTAGTTACCAAATTGCATATCTGAGAAGAAGTCAGAATTATGTCAATTAAATCCTAATGTAATAATTTGACATTACTTTCTTGACAGGACTTTTCTATTGACGTAGCGCCATTTCAACATGGAAACTTTAAAAAACAAGTTTATAAGTTAATCTTTCAGTTTTTAAAATTAACACTGTGTCCTAATTTCTATTTGGATAAAAAATGAAATTATTAAAATTAGATAATTTTATAGTTGTCCAAATAGAATATAATAGGAAAGTGTTTAGAAATATCGTAGTAATTTTAGATTATTACAGATATCGTAATAATTTTATACTATTTACATAAATTTCAAATTTTTATGGATTATTAGAAAAATTAGAAGATATAACAACGGAATTCTTTTGATATTGATTTACGCTGTTTGGTTATTCTATTCAATAATGCTCGAATTGGATCAGAGTTAAATACGGTTAATCAAGAGTGTTATAGACAATGTTATAATGGTAACATCATAAATCAAAAGAGGGGAAAAAGTTTGTTGACTTCACGAAAATCTTTAATCTACGACTATATATTGCGAATGGTCCGGCTAACATTACATTTTTGACATGGAGATTTTGTCACTGACTTGATATTAGATCTACTAAGCGAAAACTTGGTAACTTTTTCTGGTAAATTTTTTCGTTCTGAAATAGTAGGAATCTGATAATTTTCACAGAAGTCATTCCTGAGAAATTTTCCTTTTGATTTATAATCTTATCATTAGAAAATCGAATATTAAGAACATCCTTTCTATGGTAAAGTGACCTAACTCTTTTCCAGTTTGAACATTAGAATCACCCGTTAACTTAAGATTATATAAAAAAGAGAATTTTGTTATAATATCCTCTAATTCTTCTAATAATCCATAAAAATTTGAAATATGTAAATACTATAAAATTACTGGATATGCTTGAACTCTAAACACTTTCGGAAAATATTCTATTTGGACGACTATAAAATTATCTGCTCATCTTAATAATTTTACTTCGTCCAGTTCTTCATTAACAATTAGTAAAAGATTCCCAGAAGGTCTTCCAGGATCAAAATGTGTAGTAGCTTATCGTTCAAATACATTCATTCTAGGATTGATACATTTAATTTGTAAATTGGCTGATATACCCTTAAGCTCGTAATTTTGAACTTTGATTGAATGTGATTTCGTNCTTTTCTATTGACGTAGCGCCATTTCAACATGGAAACTTTAAAAAACAAGTTTATAAGTTAATCTTTCAGTTTTTAAAATTAACACTGTGTCCTAATTTCTATTTGGATAAAAAATGAAATTATTAAAATTAGATAATTTTATAGTTGTCCAAATAGAATATAATAGGAAAGTGTTTAGAAATATCGTAGTAATTTTAGATTATTACAGATATCGTAATAATTTTATACTATTTACATAAATTTCAAATTTTTATGGATTATTAGAAAAATTAGAAGATATAACAACGGAATTCTTTTGATATTGATTTACGCTGTTTGGTTATTCTATTCAATAATGCTCGAATTGGATCAGAGTTAAATACGGTTAATCAAGAGTGTTATAGACAATGTTATAATGGTAACATCATAAATCAAAAGAGGGGAAAAAGTTTGTTGACTTCACGAAAATCTTTAATCTACGACTATATATTGCGAATGGTCCGGCTAACATTACATTTTTGACATGGAGATTTTGTCACTGACTTGATATTAGATCTACTAAGCGAAAACTTGGTAACTTTTTCTGGTAAATTTTTTCGTTCTGAAATAGTAGGAATCTGATAATTTTCACAGAAGTCATTCCTGAGAAATTTTCCTTTTGATTTATAATCTTATCATTAGAAAATCGAATATTAAGAACATCCTTTCTATGGTAAAGTGACCTAACTCTTTTCCAGTTTGAACATTAGAATCACCCGTTAACTTAAGATTATATAAAAAAGAGAATTTTGTTATAATATCCTCTAATTCTTCTAATAATCCATAAAAATTTGAAATATGTAAATACTATAAAATTACTGGATATGCTTGAACTCTAAACACTTTCGGAAAATATTCTATTTGGACGACTATAAAATTATCTGCTCATCTTAATAATTTTACTTCGTCCAGTTCTTCATTAACAATTAGTAAAAGATTCCCAGAAGGTCTTCCAGGATCAAAATGTGTAGTAGCTTATCGTTCAAATACATTCATTCTAGGATTGATACATTTAATTTGTAAATTGGCTGATATACCCTTAAGCTCGTAATTTTGAACTTTGATTGAATGTGATTTCGTTGATTTGTATGCAACGAAATCACATTTCATATTTAACTTTAACATCTTTGCTGTCGAAATAATCTTATTTTGTTTTTTAGCATAGCTAAAAACAATTCGAGTGCTACTTTCCTCAAATATTTATCTTTAGTTTCTAATCCTCATATAACTTTACTTTCAGTTATTATATACAGCATTTATAATGTATATATAATACATTATATAATGTAAATATAAAGCATTCTTACTCTAACGTTTAACCTTAAAATTAAATAATTCATCGAGGCATATTTCCGTTCGACTCAGACGTTCATCCTTATGTAAATTAGTCGACCAGCTGCCCTTTAAAACTGCTATATTTGAAGTTGAAATTATCTTATTAAATCTTTCTACGAAATATGAAAGTATCTTTTTCGGAATTTGCTTATAAAAATTCGGAAACGATAAAAATAAGCTCCACGTTCGCAGTTTTATAAGTCAGTCCAGGAATCTTCATCACTTTCACAGTCAAAGACTGAACATTAGAATTGGGAAAGATACGCAATGTAGGATGATGACTTTTTTCTATTCCCCTTAAAAGTAATAAATTTCATATTGTAGCTTGGAAAAAAAATATTTCTCATATTATCTATCCACTAAATTCATTCAGATTTAGTAAAAAAGTCACCAACAAAAATCTTTAATGCAAGAGTTCCCATTATTTATTTTAAAAAATATTATTAGACATTTCAAAACTATCTTTCATATATTACTTTAACATAATTACAAAAAATATAACTAGTTAACACACAACATAAAAATCATACATATATTTATATACAGAAAATATTCATTTTTAATCACATATACATTTTTATAACTGTATTTATGAATATAGAGTGTATATTCACAAAGTAGAATAAATTTTAATCTTTGATATTTAACAGACAAACATTGAAACTGTTTACATGTGCAATTTTAAAAATAAAATATAGAAAATGAAATGAAGTTTTAGTTACAAATAACATTAATTTATTAATTATGAATAAGTTAATTATAAATATTTATTTTTACTAAATAAATGAATAAGTTTTATCATTTTATCTTAAAAATAATTATAAGTTTACATAATTCACTTGGAAATTAAAATAGTATATGAAATAAACTTACTTTGTTTACTTTTACAGTAGCAGTAAATTACAAAACCAATGAATAATAAAACCAAAATTCCATTAATGACAATGGCTGCAATCCAAGCTGTTGGCGTTCCTTCCTCCTTTTTTTCTTCCTTGTTAACGTCATCAGTTTTGTTAGGTTCTTGTGTCGCTGTTTCTGAGGTGTCTCTTTTAATTATATTTGACTAAAATACAATGAAATAAAACGTAAACAAAGACCAGTTAAAGAATATTTCATTTGCATAATCTCCGTAAACTTTTATAATTTGGAAAGAAACAACTTTTGTTATGCTTAATTCAAAGTTCTAAATTTAAATTTAAACCAATATTTAATTATAATTAAGTAAAAATATACTTGAGGCATATCCGCATCCACTCTTTGTACGTTCCATTGTTTATTTTTTTCTACATTAAAAGTCTTTTCTTTACTTTTAATGTCTTATATAAAATCTTCGCCAAACCATGAACTAGATCA